CGGCACCCACGGGACTCACCGCGCGTGTCCAGGGGGTTGCGGCGCACAGCGCCCACCCGCGACGGCCAGGGTGCCGCGGGCTGAGCGCCGTGCCCTGCGCCCTGCCCGGGTCCCCGCCCGGCTTGGGGCTGCTTCCCCACCTCCGGAAAGGTGAGCTGCTCCCCCAGAAGCAGCAACCTGAGCTGGAGGAGGAGGAGGAGGAGGTAAAAGGGGAGGGGAAGGGAGCGGGTGGAGGGAGGTGGGGAAGAAGGGGCGGGGGAGGAGGAGGAGGGGCAGGAGGAGGAGGGGGAGGAGGAGGAGGAGAAGGGGGAGGGGAGAAGCCCGGCCCCCCGCCAGAGTTTTCACGTACCAGCTGGCTCCTCCCCCATCCCTCCCGCCTTGCCCACGGCCGCTGCCAATCCCCAGGGCTCTCGGTGCCCGGGTGCCCACCCCTTTCTCCCACTCTGGGAACCAGGGGCCGAGCGCCTCTTCCTGCTTCCTTCCCAGGCCTGGCCACCGCTGGCCCTCAGGCTGTCCGGGGCCGGGTCACCCCTGGCGTGGGGCCAGGGGACCAGGGATGATTTGCTGAGAATGCTGGTCTCCGAATACAGCCCTCTGCCTTCCCAGGCTGAGCGCGGCGGGCACCCTAACCATGAATCTGTCAACAATCAGTCCCATTTGTCGTTTCCCTCTTTAGAGTCCTGGGACTCCGCTGCCCTGTCCACTAGGCTTGTCACTTACCTTTAAGAGCAGAATCCCCACCCCTGTTGACCGCATGGCCCCAGGGTCAGAATGACACCCTCTCTACCGGCCTCCGTCCAGTTTCCTATCCTGAAGGCTGTTCGTTTGTCCTTTGGAATGTAGCCCACAGGCCAATGAAGAGCCGTCCTACAAGTCCTAGAAGCCGGGCAGAGAGCGGCTGCCCGTCGTGCTGCCCTTCTGATCTGGGGCTTTTCCTGCTGACAGGTTGCAGCAGCTCTGCTTTCAGCAGGTCTTTGGCCCAGAGCCTCTGCTCACCCTGTGTCTCTGTGTCGTATTTTGGTCATTCTCACAATATTTCAAGCTTTTTCATCTTGCTATGGCACACTTCACAGACCGCGTTATAAGAATGACTTTTATCTGCCCCAAGAATCCAAAACAAACAAACCATGTGGCTGACTGTATTCCCATACCCCCGGTGGTTGGGGTCCAACCCGCTGTATCTCCGAGGTCAGCCTGTAGCTGTTGCTAGTCCAGCTCTTGCTTCACAGATAAGGGGAAACTGAGGATCAGAAGGGAGATGGCACAGGCCCAACTCCCACCAGGAGTTAGTGTCAATCAATGGCCATCCCACCCACATCCTGGGATCCAAGACAAACTGGAGTAACGTAGAGGACCACAGCGGCTATCTGGGCTCCAGCCAACCTGCTGCCTCCTGGAGGCTGGGAGTGGGGGAGGTGGTGCTGGAGCACCTGATCCGGGTCTGTGTTCCCTGCAGTCTGGGGCCTGGTAGGGAGGGATCTCAAGAAGGATGTGGCCACTCCTCTCCATACTGCCAAGCAGATGTGCCCTCCCCTCCTTAGGGCTGAAGCTTTGATCGTGGGTCTTTCCCATGGAGAATGGGTGGTTGAGAAGGAAGACTGATGGCGGCCCTCCAGCCCTGCACCCTGGGTGGGATCAAGCCTGCAGCACAAGCTGCCCACGGGAGCTAGCAAATGAGAACCAAATGCACGGCATGGAGCCAGTGCTCCCTCGTGGCAGCCCCGTGTGTAGAGTACAATGGGCTCCAGGGCGGTTTCCATGGCTGTGCCCTTTTGGAAGCAGGTCTCCAGGCCTCGCTTCCAGGGCACCTCGGGGTGGATTCAAACCAACAACCCTCTGAACCCTCTGGTTATTTAGCTGAACACCCATTTAGGCTACCCAGGGACGCCTACTGGTTCTGAAGGTGGGGAAAAAGAAGGAAGATGGGGGGGGGGGGGCTCTGCATAAGAGTAGCGTGTGGATAGTCACTCTGCTACCTCTGTGCTCTCTGGCAGGGTTTGAAGACATCGTGGGCATAAGGCTCCAGGCTCTATAACTGGTGTGTGATGGAAAACTAGCGAAAGGGGGGCCATGTGGCCTCAGGGGAGGAGCAGGGAGTGAAGGGGAGAGGTTGATGATGATGATGGAACTGAATTCACTGGCGTATTCCGGAGAAGGGAGCCAAGGGCAGAGTTTCAGGGCGCCAGTGCAATGAGGCCAACAACAAACATTGTCTGAGCCGCTCTTACATGTCAGAGAACAGCTAGGGCTGTGGACACACAAGGGGAATGAAGCCCAGTCCCTTCCCTCCAGATGACAGACCCCTGGTGGTGCAATGGTTAAGTTCTGTGAACCAAAAGATTGGGGGTTTGAACCTGCCCAGTAGCTACGTGGGAGAACACCCTGACAATCTGCTCCCATAAAAATTAACCAAACCCGCTGTCATGGGTGGATCCTGACTCATAGTGACCCCATAGGACAGAGTAGAACTGCTCCCTAGGGTTTCTGAGGCTTTAAATCTTGATATAAGGAAACAGCCTTATCTTTCTCCCCTTGGAGAAGCCGGTGGGTTTGAATACCAATGTATATAGCCCACTACATCACTGGGGCTCCGTCCAGTAAAAATTCCAGAACTCCAGACTTACTAGCATGGAGGTGGTTCTGACTCATAGTGATCCTATATACGGTCTCTAAGACTGTACATCTTCATGGGAGCAAACAACCTCATCTTTCTCCCATGAAGTGGCTGGTGGGTTTGAGCCTCCAACCTTATGGTTAGTCATTTAGTACAGAAGGGTTCCTTCCAATACAGAGTATCCTGCCCCCCCCCCAAATAAAGCAAGTTCAATGCCATTGAGTTGATTCTGACTCATAATATTCAGAATAGTACCTGATGGGTTTGAACTGCTGATCTTGCGGTTAGTGGAGTATACATAGGGTTTAATCCACTAATTGCAACATCAGCAGTTACCCTACTTGTACCCCCCTACACCACCAACTCTCCCTCCAGTAAAGATTGCAAAGACTTACTGCCACCAAGTTGAATGCCTGTGCCATGGCTGGGACTGCCAGACTCAAAACCCAACTCACTGCCATCGAGTCAGTGCTGACTCATCTCCACCCGACAGGACAGGGTAGGACTCGCCCTGTGGGTTTCCCAGTCGGTGACTCTTTACCAGAGTAGAAAGCCTCCTCTTTCTCCTGAGGGGCAACTGCTGGTTTTGAACTGCTGATCTGGCGGCTGGCAGCCCAACTCGTAACTGCCATTCCACCAGGTCGCCCAGACTGCACAAAGAAGTACATTTAGTATGTGCAGAAGGCAATAGGTGCTAATGGAGGGAAAACGAGCAAACGGAAAAGAATGGACTGATTCACATTGAGCTGGTTATATGCAGCTCGGGCAGACGCACACTTCTATATCCGCTGCTCTTGTTTCTTCACTGCGGAGCCTCTGGGTTGGCATCTGTGAAATGGGTGGTCATAACCCGTTTACACATTTGTTGTAAGGACTTGGACATCCTGGTACAAGAAGCACTGACTAGAGACCTTGGCACAAAAAAGTTTTCTACTCCTTTGAATAATATCTTTTGAGATGGTCCCAAGTTCTACTCCCTGCTGCCCCATCTCTGCTGTCTCCCCCCACCCCTCCACCCCCACCCCTAGGCGTAGTGAAGCTGTCAGATCAGCCACCTCCTTAGTGACAAGTGGGCTAAGTAGTGCTACTCTGTCACCGGTGGTCCCAATGAGTCAGAATCAACCTGCTGAAACACAGGGAGAAGCCATCGTGCATGTCATGAGCTTGTGGGGGCAGGCAGCGTCCACAGTTACTAGGCACTGCAGTGTCATACAACTAGAGTGTGTAGAGTCTACGGGGAGGCTGGAGGAGATGCTGGAGAGGGAGGCGGGACCCGAAGGCCCTTCTGTGCCATGGCAAAAGAGCCAGGACTCTACTCTGAAAACATGGAGCATTTCAAAGATACCAGGCACCCGCAGGGTGGCACTTTATGATAATAACTGATCTCATGCTGTTGTTGGGCGGAGTAGAGGTAACATATGCCCGTCTCGGGATGATGCAAATGGCTCATATGCTCAGGCTACTAGCTGAGAGCCTGGAGGTTCAAGTCTGCACAGGGGAGACGCGGAAGAAAGGCCTGGCAGTCTACTTCCTTAAAATCAATGATTGAAATCCCTGTAGAGCCCCCTAAGACCATTGTCCTTACTCATCCTTCATATCTAGGGCTGAGCTCACCCCTGTGGCTAAGTTGTCCAGCAACAGACCAGTCTCTAATGAGAGCACTGTCCCTGGGGAGGTACACATGCCTGAGAATGAGCAACCATTGGGATGCAAAAGGGCAGCGTGCCTCCGAGGACAAAGTTCCGAGGAATGGAACAGGAAGCCCCAGGAGGAAGGGGGGTAAGTGATGGTACACTGGGGGGGTACAGTCCATGACACAAAACCAGATGCATATGAGCTGCTCGGTCGGTCAGCCTTCACTCAACGTAAAATAAAACGCTTTCTGGTTTGCATCTTTTAGTGTCACCAGTGTTTTTATTTGTACCTACAAAAGACAGCAAGATGGTATCAAAAGGACAATTTACAAACTCAGAATAGTAACGCAGCCTGTGCTTGAAGATAACACATCTACACATTTACCAATCTTCTGATTCAAGTCTTAATGCAAAAAAAAGTTTTTTTTTACAAAGAGAGAGATTCCTCTATTCTACATTTGTGTATAATAGCGATTCTTTTAGATTCCAATTTAAACTCAGCTTTTAAAGCATTGGTTTATATGTCCATTGTCTTTTCTTCTATAAAGAAATGCATTAAAAGAAAGTAGCGAACAAGCTCCTATGATGTGGTTGGTTACAGGCCAGCCCTGGAGCCTGCCTCCCAGTGGCAGCTCCATGAGCAGTAGGAATCCTTCACCAGTGTCTAACAAACACTTCTTGAGCACCTGCTATGTGCCAGGACTGTACTGACTCAGAGGGACATAGGGCTGAGCTGACATCTCAGTCCCTGTCCTCATGCAGCTCGGCCATCCGTGGGAGAAGCAAACTGCAAGGAGGCAGTCAGTGAGGGAGCCAATGTGAGCCAGGAGGGAGCCCCTCACTCTGCCTGAGAGCCAGGGAGAGCTGCTCAGCAGAGAGCTGACAGCTTACCGGATGCAGACCATAGGATAGCCAAGGGGGATTTTTCCAATCTCTTCTCTAAGTTTAGAAGCATCATCTTGC